CTGTAAGTAAATTCTAAAATGTTTGTTTTGTAGAGTGTTTCTTTTAGACATTTTCCTACAGGTCTGTATTTGTAAAGCCAAACGTCACAACTGCAACATTACGAGGAAAAGGGGCATATGGCGGAAAAATCTTGCAAAGTTACATGGTGTCGGAACACAGTACTACGATAAAATGTACTGGAACATGTTATTGAACAAATATGCATTTAAAATTACCTGAAATTCTAATATTCAGTTGAGTAATATTGTACTTACACTACTGACGGAACACTGTAATTTCAGCACAAAAATCCCCCAATCTTATTGGATAGATTTTTGTTTCCCGCTCCCCTACTGGTGAAATTACGTTCTTTCATCAGTAGTAAATGTGCCATGTTATTACTCAATTCAGTAATAGAATTGTAGGCAATTCCAAAATGGATATTTGCCCAATAAAATTTTCCATTTACATATATGCACGTACGAGTCTTCACACTTTGTAATTTGCAAGTTTTGCGTCATATATACCCCTTTTGCTCGTAATATCACGTATGACGTTGACATTACAAATGGCGATCTAACAAAATGTCGTAAAAATTCACTTACGAAACAAATGACTTGCAGTATTATTACTATTGGTCTGAATACTGTCATGGCGCTGATACTTTTGATGCATCTGTGTGCGCAGCAGAGTGTGTATTCGGTATTACTATGGCGGGTCAACAACAACATAAGCACGATGTGAAGTAAACGAAAGCTACTTCACCTGTACAAGTTCCGAAACTCTTAGTAGTGCAAGAGGCTTGGTGGTCTTGGGGGTATGAGGCAAGCCTAGGACCCCAGGAATACAGAGGGCCACCAGGAACAACTTCACAATTCATCAGGAAGTTCCAAATTTATTATCAGTAAGAAAGCCTCGTGGTCTAGGGGGCTAAGACACTAGACCAGTAATGCGGAGATCGCAAGTTCGATCCCACCGGGCGGCAGAAGGATTTTTTGTCAGCAGAGCCATCTGGTAACGAATTTTTGTAGCTGCACTAGTAAAAATGAAGAGGCTGGGGGTTATGAGGGAAGACTAGGACCCAGTAATATATTATGCCACCAGGAACAACTTCACAATTAATCAG